TCGCCATAGATAAGTCACATTTATTTGGGAACATTAATATGCGCATACTCGTTAACGTAGTGGACGTCCGGTCACCCGGTCAGGAATGGCTAGATTAAAATTATTTCAGATGGACATGTATTCATGAACGAATCACAATAATACTCTTGTGTTCGTTATTGACAATTATTTTACGAGTTGACGATGAACTGACGTATCGACTCATTTTAATGTTAAGATTATTTTATTCTGTTTCTTTGTTCAGTAAAAGTACTAGGAAGTCGTACAAATTTTCCATTGATTAAAGTTAATTTTTCTAATCTCTCATATTTAATTCTGTTTATCGATGGTATACTTTGATTAGTTTTCATTAATTCTCTCATTTAATCTATGGATGTTGAAACGAAAAATTTTATTATAATCATTCCGATTTACCTTTTTATAAATTATTTATATGGTTTAACATATTAAATACTATGAAGTTGTAATTTTTAAATTAAAAATTATAAAATATGCTTCTACGAGTAACACAAAATTTTTAACAAATGTAGTAGTGATTGTGTTATTTTACAAACAATTTGTATTATCTATTCTATTATACATTATGTTAAGGTATTGAATGAATATCATATGTTCGCAAAAATTAATCTTTATAACATTTTTTCTGACTATATAACAATTTAAATTCTTGAAACTCATTTTCATTATAATAAATAATTGTTTAAACTCTTTTAAAAATCATTTTATATGAAACAGACATTTATAATTTAGACTTATAGAAATTTCTAATCCCTTTTAATGATCTTTATACTATGTATAAAAAAAATTATAAATATTATATATAAGTTTGAAATTGAAATTTCTAACTAATATAAAATGGTTAATTAATGGAGTATGCAAAAAAAAGTATAAGTAATGAATATTAACGTAAATAATGTATGTGATTAAAAAGGTTATAATTTAAAACTAAATCTATACTTTTACTCTATAATAAGATATGGTGAAAGTAGATATTACGAGTTAAATAAGAATGGTAAAATATATGGAATCATTATTAATATTAGTGTTATATAGATATTACATTAGACAAAATAATTTAATATTGAAAACGAAGAGTACAATAGGAGTAATATAACATAATTGCAATTAACAAGAAAATGATATTGGTTAAAAAACATAAATCAAAATAACGTAAATTTATTATATATATATATATATATATATATATATATATTATGAAATAAAGACGTTTTCAAATTTCATTGAATTCAAATTTTCTGTACACTTTGTTAAATAAAATGATAAAAAATTTTATTGTCATAATTTCCTTTAATTCATACATTATATGTACTTTTACGTTAATTATCTAAATAATCTTATTATATTGATCGTTGTATTTATAATATTTATAACTAAATTATCACTACGAATTTTTCTAATAATTGTAAATATTAAAAGCGACTTTAGTAAGAAAAATGAATTAGAAAAAAAAATTATAAGTAACAAGCATGTAACATACTTTTAATGTTGATATACTTTGTATAAAATGATGTTTAAGAGATAATTCTTGAAAAATTATATTTCGGAATTCAATATATATACCAACATCCATATGTATTGTGCGTGCATACATGGATACGCTTGGGATTGGGACTTTGTGTGCATATTTTTATAGTTCGTTCATTATTATGATATTTAGATTAAAGAATAAAAGAAACAACTAATATATTCCAGATTCTTTCAGTAATTAACAATTTTATGTTACTATATATTACTCCTTATTCATCCAATTCAAAAAATGGTGATAAAAAGGAAAACAAATGTTACTTGACCTCTAACTGAATTTATAATATTAGCTAATTATCATATAATTAAATAATGCTAAATTTATCGACGTAAGGAAATGACAATTGATTTTATAAATATACATATGTTCGTTAAACGTTAAAAGGTTATTTAATCGAGATAATGATGAAATGTATTTGGTTGTATTCCGGATAAAAAATTTAATTTTTTTGGAAATGGTAAAGTATGATTTCCATAATATCAAAGTAAAAAAAATATATTACAGAATAGAAATAATATAATGGCATTTCAAAGTTATAAAATTTCATGTATTCATTTTATGAATTATTGATGATATAATTGCGGTACCAAATATCGCTCATAATTCAATAATTTTTTTTCGAAAAATAACCAAAATTTTTCAAATTTCATAAAGTTTTTTTATAAAATAATTTTTATCGCCTTATGAAATCATGCACATATTTTGATTTATCGTGCCTAACTCCTTATACATTTAATTTATAAATATTCTGCCAATTTCCTTCCTTCCTCGATTAAAATTTTCATGGAAGCTATTATTTTCATGATGATTAAATATATTAAAATTTATTTTATCCAATAAATTTCAAAAATAATGCGAAAAACACAATATTAAATCACAACTTACGAATTTTCAGTACAATTAAAGATTTTTATGTTATATTACTGTATGTATTATTACTTTTATATTCTAAGGATATTAGCATACATCTAAATTATCATATATTTTGAAATTATATTATACTTTTTGTATTGCTTGATATGAATTCATTATATGCAAATAAATATACTTATTCGCTAAATTATGAAGTGTGATTTCGTAGTAATTTTATACGACGGACTAGCAACAATGATCTCTTAAATTATTATTAATTTATAAAAAGTTCTTTACTTTATGAATTCTCTTTTGAGATGCTAATTTTAATTATTTACTTTTTTTTATTATTTATTTTTTATTATTTATTCTTATTATTTAATTCAAAATACAACTATTAATTTAATTATTTTGCATTACGATTTATTTATTAAATAAGTATATCGAAAAATTATTGAATTCATGTATAAATTATGAAATATGGAATTCTATAAAAATACTATTTTTCTAGATTTAATATATTAAATTTATCAGAAATATATTAAAAATACAAAAATTAATTTATCTTCTTATAGTATTTAAGTTATATTACTACTTGAATAAATGGTATGATGGAAATTACTTTATATTTAAAGTTCAAAAAATATATAAATTATATATTTATTTATAAAAAAATAATTTCATTCGAAATAATTAAACGTACCTTGTTTGACGCAAAGGTAAATTATTTACAATTAAATTCTACATATACAGTTTATTACGTATGTAGAGAGATTAAGGATAGATACACTTTATTATCAAATTTCTCAATGGAATACTAATTATGACAATAAATTTACTAATAAGTTCATTCGACTCTAGAAATTTATGTTTAAGTGCAACTACCTTTTAATTAATAATTAGCAATATCTTTAGATACAGTTTGAAAAATTATATATACGTTTTAATATGATCATAATTTTTTTAATTAAAAAAATGATTAGAATATATAATATTAAATAATATTTTTTATAATTATTGATAGTTTTGATATCTAAAATATTTTATACAAATAATTGAAAAAATCTAACGTTTACAAGAAATTTTAAAAGCCTATATGTATTTTAGTATCAATGATTTGTTAAACCTAATGTTTTTAAATTAAGATTAATACGAATATGAAATGAACATTTAAGTAACATTTGTTGAAAATGCAGACAATTCTTTTTAGAGAATCAGTAAACTAATTTTACTTTCTAGAGAAAAACAAATTAATGATTATAAATGAGACATTATCGATATTTAAATGGCTAATTATATTTGGTATTCTTATGTAAAGACTTATTTGAACGTCTAAAGTATGGAATTGTCTTATAAATTATATAAATCTACTTCTCTATAAATATATATATATATGGATGGTTGGAAAATAGAATATATAAAATGGAAATTTTATTAATCATCGATTAATTTATTAGAAATGAAAGAATCTTGTATTGCTGTATAAATAATTATTGATGCTTACCGAATTGATTTCAAGATGAATATTTAATTGATATTAATTGTATATTATAAGAATAAAAGAGTATAAAATCATTTTTATTTTATAATGATACTTATATATTCATTAGTTTGTAATTTTAATATAAACTAGAATTTAGAATTCAATAACAAGATAAAGTATTTTAAAATTCGTAATATTTAAAATTGAAAAATTATTAATAAATTATAATTGATAGATGTATTATGAAAATTAAAAAATTCTTTACGAATATTTATATTAGAATGTAAGTTTTGACAGTAGACTATTTAATATTATTGTAAATCAATACATGAATTGTAACAATTTTATACTCAATTTATATATTTCGCTATATTATGTATATATTTAATAAGATAGAACGTTTAATAAACCATATGACATTAATATAAAATTATTTTGTGAGATCTTACTTTCGTTTAGAGTTGTTTATTAAAAAAAAAATACTGAATGAAAAATTTATGTGACGTATGAGAAATTTTTCATCATATGACAACATTATACTATAGTTTTTAATAAAGTTTTTGCACGTTTATTATAATTGTAAATGAAATTTAAGTATATCGAATTAATTTTTATTAAAATATTGTTATTATTATTTTCATTTTATATATCGCTCATTACATTAAGAAATAATGTTTTTAAAAGGGAAGTTGACCTAAATTAAACAAATTCGAAGAAGTGCACGACAGATGCTCGTACAGTATTTAATAGATGCAGAAAAATACAATGCAAGTTAAAAATTAACACGTACACAGAAATTTTAATATAAAATCTACATACACACGGCCAAAGTAAATACATTAGGGTATATGTATATACGCGCGCGCGTACACCGAGCCTTTGTGTAGATGAATAATGTGTATAGAGGTGGGAGGAATTTTAAGTTTTAATCACTTATTATAGACCAATCCATGGCTAAGAATGAGGAACCTTTATAAGCATTACTTATTGTTGTACCGCTATACGTTACTACTTAATGCAACATCAAATACGAAACAATAAAGAAAACGATAAAAATGAGAATGACAACGAATACGAGCAATACAAGTTTCAGTACACCGTGATAGGAAACGAGTAAGCCGTTTCAGTTTTTGTTGGTAGTTCTCCGTAACTGGGTGGGTCAGAGGGTTTTTCTCTTTCATTTCGTACTTATTTTCTTCCTACACACAAATGTGATTTCAATTAATGATATTTATAGTTTGTAATATATCTCTACTTTCTTTATGGACAAATTTTTGTAATAGAAAAAAAATAGACGATTAGAAAGAAAATATTGTGTAGGTCAGAACTATTTGCCACATAAGGATATTATAAATATAATTATAAAATAGTGCAAGTTATTAAAGCGATATATCCGATAATAAAGATTACGAAATCATGGCAACCATAATTCACGAAATTATCGATGGTTATCGATATTTGAATGAAGAACTTGAAGGTAATATGGATTATTTTATATTAAAAAAGACTGGAAATGATAGAATTCAATTCAATGATAGAATTTAAAATTTAACTATTCGATTGAATGGCCAACGTCGAATATGAATTAGAAATATTATTTACGATACTTTCAAATCAATGTACAAGAGTAATTTCTAATTTATTAATAACATTGTTTAATATTTTATTTAATGATAATATGATATTAAAAAATAGTTTACAGATAAACTCTATTTTTATAAAAAAAAAAAAAAAATCTACGACTGTGAGAGACGGATATATTTAAATGTGTTTAATAAAATTAATAAAAATTAATAAAAATCAAGTGATCCTATCAATATAAGATTATTAAATATGGGTAAGAAGGATTCATGGAAGGATATATATTTTTATATAATTCTTTATCTAAAATTGACAAGGAATTCTAATGAATTATTGAAAATCAATGAACATTTTTCATCGATAAATTTTTCAGATTCAAAATGTTTATCATACATATATCTAATTAATTATAAATCGATGATATTCCACTAATGTAATTCAAGGGATTGAAAATTGTATTATTTAATTGTTCTTAAATGATTTTTAAACCTTTGATCTATAAATTCGTAATAATTTGAATATTTGTATAACACCAAAATATGACAGCTGATATCAATATTATAAAATAATTCATTTAATTGCCGTATCCTGTTTCTAATATTATATGTATGAGATTAAAAATATATACAATATAAATCGCTGGAGAAACTTAAATAAAAAATAATTCGTGTTTTGGTTTTTTTTTTGCATTTAAAGTAGCGAAGGGGGGGGGGTGGAAATTGAATTTAATCGTTCAGAGTAGTCTTGTTAAAAGCAAATATATTAAAAAAGTATATAAATATTTATGGTCAATATTATTCTAATTATATTAAAAAATTAATTAATGTTACTATGGGATGAAAATTTAATATGGCAAAAAAGTTGTTGTTTAATAATTTCAGTTAAGTGAACAATGTTATGCCTTATTTCTTATTTTATTTTCTTTTAGATCCCAGAACAAGAAATTGGTTTTTAATGGGTTCACCATGGCAGTGTTTAGCGATATTAACTTTTTACATATACTTCATTTATAATCTTGGGCCTAAAATAATGAAAAATAGATCACCAATAAATTTAGACAGAATTATGCAAGCATACAATGTTGTACAAATACTTTTAAGCATTTATATTTTATATATGGTAATATTTTTCAAAAAATCAATATTTCCCATCTATAATTAACGTAATAATATAATATTATTTCAATCTCAGGCTGTAAGATTAGGATCGCCGAATAATTACAAGTATGCTTGCGAAGCTGTAGATTATTCTAATGATCCAATTGCCATCCAGGTAATAAACTGTCATAAAGAATTGTATAAAAGATACATTCTTTGTGAAAATTAATTTGTGTAAATCAATAATGAATAATGGATGGAAGTTCGTATATATTATTCCAATGTACTGAGAAACATTACATTAAACATGAAATATATATTTTCATAATGATTACATGATACGAAAATAATACCGGTAATCAGACTGTCATTAATAATAACAATATTTATTCGATTAATCGAAGTATTATTTTTAACTTAAAATATAATTTTTTAATTTCTAATAGAGATGAGATGTATAATAACAGATAGATAATAATAACATTGGAGTTAAATTAACATTTCGAGTATTATTATTGATGTAATACATTTGCTTCTTATATTAAAATACTATTCATAATTTCATTGAAACTCTAATTCAAATACTCTAATTTAATAAAATGCTGAGTAAAATATAATATAATTATGACATAATTCTATATTACTATTAAAAACCAATTAATTATTTTTTAAGATTAAACCGCTTAATCTTACATTATAATATATAAATTAAATGATTATTTTATCTAGATTGCTTCTGTGGTCCATTTATATTTCGTAGTGAAAATAATCGATTTGTTAGATACAGTTTTCTTTGTTCTTCGTAAAAAGCAAAATCAAGTATCATTTCTGCATGTGTATCATCACACAGGCATGGTTTTAACTACTTGGGCTGCCGTAAAATATTTACCAGGAGGTCATGGCATATTACTAGGTAACAACTTATGTCTCTCATATTAAAAGATAATCATGTTAAAAAAATTGGAACAAAAAATTATAAAAGAAAAATTTGTATTAAAGAGGATTTTCATAAAAATGTTAAGCCTCTAAATATTCAGTTAACTATTAGAATTAACATAGAAACTGAGACTTTTTAAATAATTTCTATAATATTATTATTATTTGTATAAAAAATTATTAAATAATTTATAGTTTAAGGTCAAGGATTACTTACAAAACTTGTTTTTAACATTATATTCTAAGATTAATGTTTAACCATTTAGATATTTATTTTGAATAATTTCTATTTTAATTATGTAATACCTTATATATATATATATATATTTAGTTGCATATTTATTAATAAATGTTTTTCAATGGCACTAAATTACCTTATGTATCTTTTCAGGTATTATAAATTCATTTGTTCATTTAATCATGTATTCGCACTACTTGGTTATGTCACTTAAAATATTTAAACCTTGGTGGAAAATTTATATAACTCAACTACAACTTGTCCAGTTCTTCTACTTAATTTTTCACTTTTCTCGACTTATTTGGATGAAAGAGTGCGCTTATCCACGTTGGCCCGCAGCCGTCATGATACCTCAAAATTTCTTCATGATTATTCTTTTTGGTGATTTTTACTACAAGACTTATATGAAAAAATCAGCAAAAAAACTCGCTGAAGATTGAAATAATCGAAAAGTACGAAACATATTAAGCCATACCTGAGACTAAAATTTCATTCATAAATCTTGATTTGAAAATATTTATTATTTTGAATCTGCCCAAGGAGACATTATTTTATTTCGTATATTGATAATCGAGATACAATAATATAGGATTATATATGTATAGATAAATATTTTAAGCAATCAAACAAAGCATTTTTATATATGAAATTCTGTGTTCTAAGTAATCAATAAGAGTCTATTAAGAAGGAGCTTATATATTTTTAAAGATTCCCTTTAATGCATTAATAAATTACAAACATATTCACATTTGATATTTACAAAGATAATATTCTTATAAATACTTTATATTTTACAAATTTCATATATATATATATATATATATATATATATTTTTACAAACCAAAAGCGCGTTAGAAAAAAGTCTTTTATATTTAATAAAATAAAATGTTCTATGCAGATATATAATTTGGAATTATCGAACTTTAATTGTCATATCAATTTTTTACTTTATTAAGAAACAAAACATTTTCATTATATATATATATATATATATATATATATATATATATATAATTTACTTATATGTAATATTTACGTTCATTTTTTTTTATATTTTTCTAAATTAATTTCTATATTATACACCAGTAATTATTTATTAAAGGAAGGATTATTTTAATGAAATTTCATTTTTAAATAGTTGCGAAATATTTTACCGATTACAATAAACATAGGGCATTACTTAAAAAAGAAAAAAAAATTAAAAATTTAATTTTCCCAAACGGACTTTTGTTTTCTATGAATAAATTTTTGTTCTTGTTCAAATATAATTATATACTTTCAATCGAAACTCATATGTATTTTTCGTAAAATTTTTACGTACACTTTAATGGCTTGAAAATAACTAAAATATAATTTTATATAATAATTTAGAAAAACATAAATGATACTTAATATATTTAAGAAATCTGATAATGAGTCATGAACTATAAATCTACTCCATTAAATCACACTTCATATTTATTAACCATAAAGTAATATTAATTCATTAGAAATAAAGCAATAGTATGTAAAAAAATAATTAAGTCATATTATAATAGACTTTTATAGAAAAAAATTAATGCTTATTAATAGCGTGTAATGTGCGTATGTATTACAGTCTTCAATATTTCAGTTAATATTATATAATAATAAATATATAAAAATAAAACATTGTCGTCATAATATCTTCGTATTATTTCAATGAACTTATTAATATAAATACAAATATATAAGGTTGTACCGTTTGAAGAATTAATATTATATTTAATCAATGTTATTTATATGCTATATATATATATATATATATATATAATATTACGCCAATAAAGCATTATGAATAAATTAATTATTAATCATTTGTTTATTTATTTATTTCGATATTAATTATGTATATATAGATAAACATATTAAAAGTATTTAGGAACTTTATATATTGGGCAAAAAATACTTTATTCTAAATTGAAATTCTCAATCGCATGGTTAACTGAGAATTAACGAAAAAATTAATGCAAAAGATAAAAAGAAATATTTTTTATAATCAAATTAAATAATCATACTACCTTTCATATAAAACATTGATGATGGACTACATTAACATTTTTATAATAAATTATTGATTTCAATGTTTATAAGCAGAAAAAGTTTTTATTAGCATTCTAAATATTTTTACAGTAATATTTAATATTTTGAATATTTTACAAATTTAAATTAATAAATATTCGAATGATAAATAGATTAGTTGCAAAAAATAAGATATAATGAATATCACAGCTACCTATATCCATTGTCCCTAGTTATGTAAACACATTTATTAGTAATCCTTTTTTATGTATATAATAGATATTAAAGATTTATACCTAATTTTTACTGTTTGTATTATTTAAAAGGAAATTAATTTATACGTCATTAGTAGAGACGCACTTAATTGCCATAAGAAATACAAAAAGTTATGAAGTTATTGTAAATGTATCTGTTAACTGTTATTTTAACTTTCCTTATCTTATAATTGTAAAAGTTTAATATTTGTTAGTATGGATGAGTGGTAAAAAATATTTATATTTATTTTACACTTTCAAAAAATTGTATTACTTGAAATAAAATGTTTATTACATATACTATCTATATTTGAAAGTTTTTTGATAATTACATACAAGTGCCGTATTTTTATTATTATCGACATATCTTCGTCAATGTATAAGATGAATATTTAAAATTAATTGTGAGTAATGAACGTACTTTTTCAAAAAATTTCGGTCAATAGTATATTATTTTTTCTAATTTATTTAGTCAACGTTGTTACTCTAATAGTATAGATTATAGGTATACTGCAAACTATACTGTAAAGATTATTAGTAAGTACAGAAGTAATTGAATTGTAATAATATCGTATAATATCTTTGAGAAAGTTCGTTTAAAATAAACACCTGAACATAATATAAATCATAAAGGAAAAGAAATTTAAATGAAAACAATGTCAAAAAAAAAGCAAAGTAACAGAAAAATACTTCTTCATAAAACTTCTAATACTAATTCAAATTTATTTAAAAATACAATAGTTATTATTGAATTTACATATTACCTCGTCTTTAAACAATCTATCGTATAAATAGGTAAATAATTTCAGAACTGATTTTATTTATTTCAGCGTAATTTTTCACAGTAATCCAATACAATTTTAAAGACCCTACAAATAATAATTTTAGCGTCTTTACAATTGTATCGGATTACTGTGAATATATATATATATATATATATAGTCGTTAAAGGACCATTGTATTCACTTATTTATCATTTTCAAGTTTAATTTTTCATTTTTCTTTCATTTATGCAGCTCCTATAGAAAAAATAATATTTCTTACAAATGTTTTCTTTAAATATTAGTCAAATTAAATCAAATTAATTGACTTTCAGTTTCAGGCATAAATTAAACGATGATTTAAAAAAACAATTGGAATGTCATATATTTGAATTCGTATAATATTTTGTGCATTTATTGAAATTTTAAGATTTTTATGAATGTATATCAATTGACTCTTAATCGGTTTCGCAATTCACTCTAGATAATTTTAGGACAAATTTATAAGAATGAATTCTTTCAAATCCATGTTTATAGGCTTATTTAATTTAGTGATTATGTACCGTTTTACAGTGTAATAATTTCTTATCGACGTATAATTAAATAAAAATAATAAACATATAAAGATATATTCATTGAATAATCATTTGAATATATGAGCTTAAAAATTGTCCAATATTTTGACATTTTTAATATGCCGAAATAATATGCCGACTGTGCAGAAAAAAGTCATCACGCACTTAATATTTGTGCCATTATGATGCGATTGAAGTGCACTTAACTTTCCGGACCTTGGGAGATAAAATAAACGGCATGTAATATTAAACATAATTGTGATAATAGCGAATCCATGATACGACTTCATTAATTTCTGCTAAAATATAAAGCATATAGACTGCATTCGTAAACGTGTAAGTTGATAAAATATTTATTGAACGGATATTCAGAGATTTGATCGGGTCATCGACGCAAGTAGAGCGTAAGAGAGAGAATTCGCGCCTCGAAAGTCCTTTTGTACCATGCGCTATGTCCATATTGATAAGAAAAAGAAGAAGGGGGAAAGCTGCTCACGTTCCCTCTCGTAATAGCCAACAGCCATTTCAGTGCGCTCCATCTGAGACGAGAGGGCAGTCAAGAGTTACTTTCTTATGATTATAGTTAGAACGGAAGGATTTTCATGTTATCGCAAACAGTAACAAGCAATATATTTAATTCGATTAAAATTAATATTTCAATATATTATAAGAACATTAAATTCGTTTTCAGACATTAATGTGCAGTGGCAATAACTGATTATCCATTCATCCGCTCGTCGAAATTCAAACGTAAGAGTCAAACTTTTTACTTTCAGATGCAAAATTTCATCATTAAGTTTTATCATTGCCAACTAACATAAACATAATATCGATCACAATTATTAATATTAATATATTATGAAGAGATTAAGAATTATGAAGATCCTTTCCCTCACAGTTATTATAAAGTTCATATATACTAATTTACTAATTTGATTTCATACATAATTATCTCATGCGCAACTGATTTTTGGAAATGTGCGAGCCCGTGGAAAATAATTAATTCATGGCGAATAATAAACTTTTAGTCACGTAGTCGATTTTCATATTAAAATAGGAATTATAAAATAATAATATATATAATCCAAGTTATCGAGGTATATTTTAAAAAGTTTGTAAAAGTATTTCATTTTTATGTGACGAAGTTGACATAGTACGATTACTAGATATCGCGTTGCAATTAAAAAAAAAACATAATAATAACAGAGTATATGAGCATCGGTAGCTGTGTAGTGATAATTGAAAGTCTTAAATTGCATTCTTAGTCGAGTAAGCTCGTCTTTTTTTTTCTTGACTTTTCATTTTCACATAATTTTTTAAATGATTCTTACTTAGTTTAACGGATAGGATTGACATTATGAATAATAGTATGTTGTGTATGCATTTTTGTTTGTTTTTTTTTTTTTTTTTTTTTTTTTTTTTTGTTGCATACTATGTTAAGTAGATTCTTTATATAGTAAAATAAAAATTTAATTAATATTTAAAAGATAGTATACATATGTGCACGTTGATAATGCACATAAAAATTTAATATTTGTTTTAATTTTATATATTACTCAAATATATATGTATATATATATATATATATATATATATATATATATATTTATAGATAATCATTAATGTAAATATAAAACGAATTTTTATGGGAATGCATTAATTTTGTTACAACGTCAAAGAATTATAGAAACAAGCTACGTGTATCAAGATGTTTCGCTGAAAATTTTCACATCTGATAGACAATACATGCTTTTCGGCCATATTTTTACTCCTTTGTTCGCTACACTTAATTGTTAATTCGATGGAATAGTTAATCTATACATCGTATTGTATAGATATGTTTTTATTATTATCAGAACAATAGAATCATATTCATTGTAAAAAAAATATTTATTTTAAGAGATTGATATCCGAGTACAATTCTTCTAGTAGTGTGTAAAAATTTTCTACAATATAACTTATTTAATTTATAATGTTATAATTTATAAAAGTCGTAATAAGTAATAAAATTAAATAAAGGATCTGTATTGTAAATGAATCCATTCAAATTTCAAAA